AGGACACACACCGACACTTCAGCACCCCACCTTCCACAGCGTCCGACACAACCCCCAGCTCACCAACAGTCACACTCACTCACACTGGCTGAATCTGTGCAAGGGCTGAGCCTGGCCCCGCTGGGCTCGCCCTGTCAGCTGTGAAAGGAAAAATGTTCCTTGTGCCCCGGCACCTCTTTCATTACAGACTAAGCGCTGCACTCACACCCAACTAACACAGTGTCAGCCCCCACACACCTAGTCACACCCATACCCACAATGTGCCTCACCCACAATCTCACACCCACAGTCACACCGAGCCACGTGAAAAACTATCCCACCTGCACCCACTCCCCTCCCCAGTACCACTCAGTCTCTGACTGCCAGATGCCGGGACTGGACAACAGGGGATGGATCCACTCCCTTATGGCCGGGTTGTGTTCACTCTCTCTGGGGCACCTGGCATTGGCCGCTGTCAGAAGACAGGACACTGGGCTAGATGGACCTTTGGTCTGACCCAGATGGGCCGTTCTCATGATCACTCTCAGAAACACCCACCAACACCCGCAGAGTCACATCCGCCTCCCAGACTCTTCTCAGCCTTTCCCGGCATTACCGGGCTGTGTCCCGCTTACCCCCATCCCATCTCCGGGAGTGGGGCGCAAAGGGAGTGGTTCAAAGAGAGACGGGGCGTCTCTTTCTCAAAGACCATCCACAAGTTATTGGGGCTGATGCCGGAGTCACTGGCTAGACTTCTCCGGCCGGTGTGAAATAGGAGGTGAGAGCATATGACCCCTCTAGCCTTAAAATCTATGAGAAATGTTTTCTCTCTAGGCTTGGGGGCGGTTCGATTTTTGTCACTAGCTGCTGGTAAGTGTCTGATTTCTCTGTACACAGACAAACAGAGGAAAACACTTTTCCATGAAAAATCATCAAAATTTACAGATAAGCAAAGTAAGAAAAATAGCAGTTGAGAATTGATCCGTGTCTTCTTTCAGGCTATTTGTTCTGAAGGGAGATGAATCATTTCCCCCTAGTTGTGCACCGGGGGAGGGGGAGACAGCCACATCTCAGGGGCACGAAGAAGTGTGTTATTATTTACAAGCGGGGGTGGGGGATTTGCACTCTTCCTAGCTTGTGCAGGCCCAATTTACTGCTCACCCCGGGGTCTCCTGCATCACTTCCTTCCCTACACCATCTCCCTGTTTGCCCCCTTCCGTCCCCCTCTCTCTCAGGGACTCCCCGGGCTCTTCCCTGTCGGAATCTCCATGTTCCTCCATCCACCCTCCTCCCATCCCATGTTCCCCCCATATTTGCCTGATCCCACTGGCTCTGTGAGCCCCATTCCCTCCTCCCCTCTGCCAGGGTCCCCCATTCTCTCCCCACCCATTCCCCCAGCGTGTGGGCCCCTCCCACGCCCCCAGCCTGGACCCACCTGCCCTTCCCCCCTCCCTAGTGATGCCAAAGGGGCAGCAGCAGGGAGAGAAAGGGGGCGCCCGGCACAGTCACGCCAGAGCCCCTCGGCCCTGCGCCTCTTAAAGAGACAGTGACAGAGGTTAGAACAATTGGCCGGTCCTGACCTCCGCTCCACCTTCGCTAGGGAGCAGCATCGCGCGCAGGGCGCTACTGAGTGTCACTCTTGTGTGTGTGGCAGGGGCTAGAGAGAGAGACTGCGCGCGCACACAGATGGGGACACGCGCAGAGACAGACACAATAAGACGGGCACACACACTCGGATCCAGAGGCGGACACACACGCACACTGACATAGGCAGGCACACACACATACACACACACACAGAGAGAGCTTTTCCCACGGAAGCTCCGGATCCCCCGTTCACACAGAAGCTGCCGTCACCCCCCGGCACTTCATTTCCCCCCAGAAGTCGAATCGGTGGCTGCGATTCGTTGTCTTCCCCCCACTGGTTACAGAAATGCCGGGATCTCTGTGGCTGTGTCTCTGCGCACTGCCGCTGTTCCCAGGTGAGCTCCGGGCGGAGGGGTCGGGGTCTGTCTATGGGACTTTCCTCGCCCCGTGACTCCCTCCCAATTCTCCCCCTTCTAGGTTCAGTGGCAGGGAACTCGCTGACCCAGATCCCGGCTTCCCTGCCAGCCACGGAAGGGGAGAGGGTGGAGATCAGGTGTCAATACAGCACCTCCTACACCAGCTACGCCCTGGACTGGTACCAGGAGCTGCCGGGGAAGCAACCCCTGTTCCTGCTGGGCAGATACTCCGGTGGCTCGGAGCGCAAATCCAGTTCGGTGGCACCTCGATTCTCCTCCCAGCTGGACAAAGGAGCGAAATCCTTCAAGCTAACCGTAGACGGGGCGCAGCGGGCTGACTCGGCGGTGTATTTCTGCGCTCTCTGGGATCCACCGTGATACAGAGCGCACCGGGCTCCCGACACAAACTGCCGGAGCGGGGGAGGGGCAGGTGTCTGAAAGGCGGTTCAGTGTAATTCGAGCTCTCAGCCCAAGTAGACACGTTGGGAGACACACTTCAGCCCTCCTGGAAAAACAGTTTTGGCGGACGTGGGCTCCGCGAAGGAAATGAGACGCTTTGCAATCTAAGTAGCTAAGACACACGGAAGAAGCAACACACCCTGAATGTTAGAGATGGGCAGCTGAGGTGCAGAGGCGCGAAGTGACTTGGCCGAGGTGACACAGTGAGAGGGTAGGGCCAAGGAACTGGGATGGGAAGGAGATGTCTTGGTTCTATTAGCATCTCTGCAACAGTCCTGGGAGCTCCTCCAATGAAGGGGGATGAGTCATGTAATCTTACCTCAACCTAGAGGGTGCATCACTCATAAAAACTGATACTAAGACCAGCTTGTGGGAAGCAGACATAGCAGTGAATGTATCTTGTCCCGCAGTAATGGAAAATTTAGGACGGGTTGTCCCTCATTAAATACAATTCATCCGAGAAGTATTTCAGTTACTTTCCCCTCTTCGCTTTGACATGGGATTTATTTATAACTGAGCTATAGACCAGTAGCCGCTAGAACCCACAGCACATCCGATGAAGTGGGCTGTAGCCCACGAAAGCTTATGCTCTAATAAATTTGTTAGTCTCTAAGGTGCCACAAGTACTCCTGTTCTTTTTGGGGATACAGATTAACACGGCTGCTACTCTGAAAGCAGACCTTAGCTAGGATCTCAGGGGCAGCGAGATCAGATCCGGGCCAGATTTCAGGGGCCTGCAGATGAAATTTCACCGCCAGCCCAGGGATTTGTTCTTGCAGCTCTCGCCAGTTTTACTGCGATGGGAACTGGGAATCCCACCCGCAGCTTGTACCGTGTGTCCCGGCCCCATGTGCGATTGGAGCTCAGTGGAGACACGAAGTGAGAGACAGTCTCTGCCCGAGGAACTTACAAAGACATTCGAGCAGACAGAGAACGGATTCCTCGCTGTGTCCTCGTTATACCCGTGGGAACTGAGTCACAAAGAGAGGAGGGGAAAGTGACTGCTGCTGGGCCGGCTGCTACCACACCGCTACCGCGGGCGATTTCTCTCTCATGTATAAGACGGGAGCGTATGCAAATGGAGTGACCACATTTCCTGTTAGACACCCCCGGTGTCCCTCAGTCTGCAGAGGAGACGGCCCAGACACGTGTCTCTGCAGCTCACACCCCTCGCCGCTTCTCTGCGCGCTCGCCTGCAGAATTGTCTCCATAATAGTCACAAAAACCAAACGATGATGCTGTGGCTGCCCGTCGCTTTCCTGGCAGCAATTCCCAGAGGTGATTCCCGGCCTGGGTACAGAGGGAAGCTCCGTATTACAGTGGAGATGGTTGAGATGAATAATAATAGATTTTAATTTTGCAGGTGTCCATTCGCAGATTCAGCTGGTGGAGTCTGGGGGAGGCGTTAAAACCACAGGAGATTCTATCAGCGTCTCCTGTAAAGCCTCCGGATTTACCTTTGGAAACTACTGGATGTATTGGTACCGCCAAGCTCCCGGGAAAGCTCCAGAGTGGATCTCCTACATTAACCCCGATAGCGCTAACGCGGACTATGCCCACTCAGTGAAAGGGAGATTCACCATCTCCAGAGACAACCCCAACAACCTGCTCTATTTGCAAATGACCGGCCTGAGACCCGAGGACACGGCGGTGTATCACTGTCAGAGAGACACAGTGACTGGCAGGGAATCTAACCACGTACAAAAACATCCCCTTTGCCGTCACAGCCCGCTGCGGGGCACAGCCCAGGGGAAGGGTCAGACACACACAGAACTGAACCAAGGAGACAATGTCCCCAGCGCTGCCATCAGCGCGTGATGGACACGGCTTTTGTGGGGCTGCAGAGACAGGTCAGGGCTCGGGCAGGAAACATGGGAGGGCAGCAGACCGTTTTCTTTGCTGCACACCTGCCCTTCTGGGCTAGCAGCGAGCTTCCTTCTCCCTGACCCAGCCCCTAGAGGGCAGCACCCTGCTATCTCCTGCGCTCCCTCACTTAGCTAGTTCCCAAGTAGCCCCTAGGGGGCGTGAGGGGTCAGCATTTCTGTGTTGCACCCTGGGTCCCGGGAGACGTAGGTGGAATCCGAGCTGTGGCACGGGGCAGCCCAAAGGGGACAGGGTCAGATGTCACTAGCTGCCGGCAGATCTGACCTGCCCCCTTGACTGCCCCCTGCTGCCCCAGCTAGGAATGAAATCCAGTGACTGGACCAGTAGGGCAGGGATCTGGTGTTTCCAGTGTAGGAAGCTGAAGTTAGGCTCCCGGATCCTGATTGGTGGGTTCCCGAAGAAAAGGGCTGGTTTCACAGGCACCA